AGAGCCCTGCTTCAACTCGTCACAGTGAGCCATCAACCAAAAGAAAAGTGATGAACATGAGCCCAAATCTGGGAGACCAGCCACATTGGAGTCACGTGTTGCTCTCTCCCTCTTCAAGGTGAGGACTGACTCCCATCTCCGGCATTACCTGTGCTTCTACAGATGGACCTGCCCTAATTCTGCCCCACTAGCTACTCTGTGTATCGTCATTAGCAACAAAAACTTCCTTTCTGCCTCATGCATCCTGAGTCTCCATGCAGAAAACAAGCAGATAGTCTGTCACCAGTTTACTTTCTTACTTAATAACCCATTTCTAGAAAGGCATGTCCCTGGACATTGGCACTTAGAATGATAACGTGGCTGATATACCCAGTTGTAACACCTGGGTAATCTTCTAAGATTTGTTTCTTACAAACAAAGAATCTATCATTATTTTTTTCTGAGTAAATGCTGCAGAATAACATGTGGATTTTTTCAACAATTTACATATAACTTTTATGTTTTTATGCTAAGGCAGTATGTGACAGTTCATAAATATGTTCCATTTACAGTAATTAATAATTTACTCTTGTTCCATTCTATTGAAATATTTATATAAATACACTGTGCATGATAATTAGCTTGATTAGATTTCGATACAGAGCCATGAAGCAAGCAAGAATTTATTCAGAAAGTAGGAGATGTTAAAAATGTTGCTGTAATTAAAGATGACTAAGACTAGAGGAGGTCAGACCCAGGGTATGAGCTGAATCCTGAGGTCTGCACACTCAGAGAGTACCCTTCAGCTGTCATTTTGGGCTGACCTGTCAGAGGACATCAATTAGTGTGCTTTCATGACAGAAAAGCCTACCTTGACATCCAGGTGACCTCCTGGGGGGGCCAGATGCCTAAAATTACTCAAGAAGGGGCACAGCTTTTTACACCAAATTGAACTTTAGACTTTAAAATATAAACACCCCGAGAAGAGGAAACAGGTTGACTTGAATCTGCGTTAAGATGTAAAGGACAAAAACCTCTTTTTTCTCAGTTTTGGTAGAAGTAGGGAGAGAACTGTAGGCTACTGAATATAAATCTGCTGGAAAGAGGACCTCTAGAAAAAGACAAGAATACAACACCGAGGAACAAGGCTCTCGAGGGGCCACCTCGAGGTTTGGCCAAGGAGTCGGGCAGTTTTCCTTCTCCCACCGCAGGTTCTCAGCTAAGGGTCTTCTCCAATTAACCATACACCAGATTTACATGATCCTAACATTCACTACTTAAGCCTTTTTTAAATTGTCTGCCAAACCTAAGAATTACAGTACAGTTGGTTTCTAAAAGGAAATAGAGTGCACCCATTCTTTATCTCAAACACACTTTGTGTTTTCCCTAAAGCAAAGTGCATTTCCAGAGAGTACAGCGATTCATAGAAGAATAAGAACCAGTTGTACAGCATACATCCCTGAGAGTAGTAAATCGAGATTCTACCAGTGATTCCTTTGTGAAAGACAACCTCCAACAGAAGTAAGTCGCCAAATACTTATTTTACTGAGCATCCTTTCAAGAGACAAAAGACAACTCTACTGAAAACCGATCTAATAAACTGGGCATGAGTGACTCATTTTGCACAAATGATAACATAAGCGTCAGTTATTTCCTAAATGCTCCCAGTTAAACCACATTACAGGAACTCTAAACCAGTAGTAGTGACAAGAAAATGTTAGAGGAAATGGCAGTGAAAGGCATTTTCTTTCCAAAAACTACTAAGATATTTAACAGGGTTAGAAGTGAGTTCCTTACCATTCTGGATGGCTGCTGAGTTGATGCCTGACAAAATACTTGAGGGATTTCAACAAGAAATGGTGATGGGAGTCAGAAAAATGGAAACGCTCTTTGTTGAGAACTATTGTCAGCTTGATACTGAAAGTGGGAAAGCTTTGTGCTTATCTGTCGTAAGCAGCAAAGCAGGGGCTTAGAAGCTAGTGCCCAGCCTCCTCCTCAGGGAAAGCCCTGAGGGGCAGAGACCAGTGTTCTACGATTGACTTGATCAACCTTGATGATTAATCAAGATCACATGGAACCCTGCTCCGCCACTGAATATCAAAATAATTCAGACAAGCCAGTGAGTGACTCCCATGCAACTCAAATACGACTAGTAATAAGCAATTTGTACACATACTAATGAGAAATTTTCCATACAGTTTCATGTTATCCTTCTAACTTTCTATATAAATAAAACAGGTATTACCCATTTTGCAGATGGGATAACTGATGCTCAGAGAATCATATAGTAGCAGAGAAGTAACTCATATCCAGATCTCCTCCCACTTCCCCATCCTCATCTACTATTCTTCCCAGGACACTGCCTCCAGAGAATTTCAGAGAGAGCAACCCTTCTCCTCGCAGTGTCCACAGGGACTGGGGACAAGAGCCAGCTCCCAAGTCTTCAAGTGCTCGTTCTAGTGCACTGCCAAGAGAAAGGAACCACAAAATCACAAGGGAATCACTGTGAAATCTGCCTGGCAAAATACTATTTCTCCAAAAAGTCCATTTTTCAAAGCTGACATTGAAGGTCTATTTGCCATCCTTAAAAGTCTGATCAAATTTGCTGAGGAGAGAGAGAAAAAACAAGAGGAGATGACAGGAGGAATAAGTAAAGATCCAGATTAAACTCTCTGTAAGGCAACCAAGGAAGAGAGCGAATACCAGTGGTAAATCACAGGCACACAGCTTAAGAGGTGCTAAAAATATCTCTGTTCTGGAAGGAAATGAAAGTTCTAGAAGCGAAGAAACATCAGCTTTCTCGTGGGATAATGCAAATACTTCACGTAGTTTTAGATCACAAGCCTTACAGAGTAGAAGGAAAAGATTTACCTTATGATGGACTCCTAAGTATATTGACTATCTTCCTGAGACCAAGATGATAGTACTCTCATACTCTGTGAGGACATTAACAAGATTTTGTTTGTTATGAACTAAGTCCCTGCTCTTTTTGTCTAACAGTTCAAAAAGCATCAGTTTATGATTAACATCATGTTTCTATTCCCTTCCAGACTTGATTTGCTTCTGTTAACAAATGATGCGTGTTTTTAGGCATGGCTACTCAAACTGTGGTCCTTACACAGACAGCATCAGCATCACTTGGGAACTTGCTAGAAATGCAAATTATCGACCCCCACCCAGACCTGCTCAATGAGAATCTGCATTTTAACAAGGTCTCTATGTGGCCTATACACACTTTAAGTTGGAGAAAGACTGTGCTAGAGGTCCTTTACCTGCATAGGCAGAATTTCAGGTCCTTACCTGCCCTGCCATGGACTCTTTCTCCCATTGTCAGACATAAGATAATGCAGAAGTCACCAACCATCTCAGAATCAAGTATTATTCGCTCCACAAAGGTCCTTCTGCATTATCGGGATCCAGGTTCACTTACACTTGCTGTCCACTAAGTTAGTGACAGAGGCTGATGTTCAGTCTCATTTCTCCAACCCCCTACTTCAGGGTTCTTTTTAGTGACCACTCTTTTTTTTTATTGTTTGCCATCTTGTGATGTCCCTCTCCCCATTGACCACTCTCCCTCCCCCAATAAAAAGTCATCAAGCAAGGATGACCAAAGTCAAACTAAAACAATGCATTTATCCTCATTATGTCCAAGGACTAAGGATCCTTCTGGTTCCATTCTTTGCCTAAATCGGTCATCACCATCATTATCACTGTCCACTCTCTAATAACAACATTTTACTATGATCTAAGCTCTGGGCTTGCACTGAAGTTGCAAAGAAGTTTCAAAAAGAATGAAAGTAATAGCAACCAATACCTACTACACACGCAGTAGCTGCCAGAAGCTGAGCTAAGCCGTTTGCTCATTTAATCCACACAGTATCTCCATAATTATAACTCACAATAAGAGTAAATTCTATCATTATTACATTTTACAGATAGAGAAACTACAGAAGGTAGAAAACTGAAGTAACTTGCCCAAGGTCACACAATGAGTGGCATTTATTCGTTTATCCCTGGCTTGAAGGGATTGGTAATTTAGGAGTTCTTTTTCCCAAAGGAGTTTGCCTTCTAGCAAAATGAAAAGCCTTAAGAGGAAGGGTGAAATTTCAGCAGCCACTAGCATGAGGGCTCTTTTTTGTCCCTGAAATCACAAGCCCCACCTCAGTGCCCTATTCACAAATGCGAAGGCATATTTAGGGATTAAATCAACAGTAAAACACGTTTCCAGAATCCAAATTAGGTTACGGCAAGGACTGTGTCCAAAACCCAAATCCAGGGTGTGTAGCAAGATACAAGTGATGCAAGAACAATGCCAATTTTCTCATGTAAGGAGGTACTGCTCCACCGAACTGTGGCCATACTGTTTTGATTGAGAGGACATTTGCTATGGAACTTAGAAAAATGAGGCTAGTTGACTCATTTCTTAATGCCAGTAAACTAATGATTGTGTCCTGAAGGCAGTGTATTATGTTCGAACTGTTAGAATTCCACATTTTAAAAAGGAAATATTTTTCCATAGTTTCAGAGTCTTTTTTTTTTTCTTTTTCCAATAGAGAAGAAGAAAATTGCTGCCAGTATTAAGTAGGTCTAGAGGATTAATTATGTATTTTCCCCTGATCATTTAATTGACCATGGTTGACCTCTATTGGAGCAATTAAATTTTTTTCATGAGGAACCACTGACCCATTTTATTCCATTTTCATGCCTCCAATATTTGACAAGATAGTGAAAAGAATCTAGTTTGATTATAAATGTTTATGAATCCCTAATTGCTAGAAATTCCAAGACACCTCCAGGCATTTTTATCACTGATAATCACTATCTTTGATGGAGAGTTTTTCTGTATTATTGGAGAGTATATTTCTAAAAGCATGAAATATTACAGTGTTAAAGATAGCTAATTGGGACATGAAGACTGTTTCATTTGTTTTGGTTTTCCAACAGCGTTTGGCTGACACATTGTTCTTGCAATATATTCAGTGATCCAAAGCCAGCAGCTTTTTTAAATGTAAAAAATTAAATGAGAACTGCCTGTCCTTTTGTAAACTCAATTTTCAGAGCATTTCAGGGCACTCAACCAGATGAATGAGTTAGTAAGAATATCATGAGATATTAGATTAAACACAGAATGAATTTAATTTTAAATGATCAACGTGATCATCTATTAATAATCAAGTGCCAAGATATATTGCCACATATTATAATCAATATTTTGCATATTCAATAAACACTCATCAAAGATGGTGATGGATTCCAGACTGTAGTAAATATATCGATTACAGGGTCTTTACCTACAGCATTTTACATTCAAACAGATCAGCAGGTTTTACATTGGATCACACAATTAGTGCTGAGAAGCAGTTAAAAAAATGATTCAGCTTCAAAAAAAAAAATTTCTAGAGAAATGTAACTTACTTTACATAAAAACATTCAAAACTCTATTTTTATGTTCAGTAAACCAATGTAGTGCAGCGTGATTGATGCCAAGATACACAAAAGATTTGCATGTACTGCTAAGGATACAAAAGATCTAACATTAAATTACTCTTAATAACTGAAAAAGCTTTACCCCTAAAGAACATGATCACAAGGGAGGTAGTTGTATGCAAACATTTCTATTTGGGTTTATAAATAGTAGCTTCACATATTTCCAACAGGGCTGGTTTCAGCGAAAATATGCTTACGTGCTTTCTTGAGAACATAGGGCTTTCATTGAGAACATTATGGCTTTTGGTTAATAAATAAAATAGTTAATGGTATACTCATTTCATCTTTATTTATACTAAAATCACATTTCATTAAAGTAAATGTTAGTCGTGAGCGAGGAAAATAGATCTGGTGGCTCACGCCTGTACAGAGGATAATCTGAATAGTTCTAGAACCATTTTGAGAAACGTATCTATGGCATGGACTGTTCCAGAATATAAGCAACACACCTTAATATCCTGTTGATTTTCTCTCTTGATTAGGCTCTAGCGTGCCTTCTAACACATCACTTTGGAGCTTCAGTTTGGTGAGTACTGGTTGTATTATAAATAGAGACAGTTTAAGAACAACTTTCATAAAAATTAATCTGCAAAAGAGGTGGGTACAGAACTTTGACAAACTGTCCTAGCTGCTGACCACTTTGAAATCTGGTTCCACAGTACTGTTGAAAAGTTGTATGAAATTTAAATGAATGGAACAATATTTAAAACTCGGGTCAGAACTGATAAAAACATACTGAAGAAGCAGGCTTGAAGTCTAGGGAAAGATAGCTGGAAAGTTGCCAAGTCTCTTTGGTGTGATTCACCCTATTGCATCTTGACAGTTACATTTTTAAGAGTAAGTAAAATTTAATTCAATACACATTTTGAGCACTACAGAGTATTCAAAGATGAGGAAAACAAGGCACCTGGCCTCTGAGGCAGAGAAGAAGAAAATGAAGATAAGAAAGTACTTTCCTTATTGAGCATGTACTGTGCCCTAGCCACTTCCAAGCACTGGTGATTTAAGGCATAAAGACAGATGTAACTGTTCACGTGTGTGTGTGTGTAGTGGGTGCAAGAGGGAGGAGCAATGATGTCTTAATGAAGTAGCTGGCATTTAGACTCACTTTAAAGAGAGGGTATGATTTCAGAAGTAGAAGAAGAAAAGGATGGCATTCCAGGAGGGTGGACCCGCATGAGTAAAGGCACACGCACAGCAGAAATTACAGGACATACTCAGCAGACAGTCTTATGGTTTAACTGTATCATAGGCATGCTGGGGCAAGGGGAGGGATTTTTGCCTTCCTTAGCCCTAAAGATAGAGCTACTTTGTATAGTTATCAAAAAGACATTTAACATCATTTGGGAATTCAGTCTATATAAAATATTCTCCATGACTTTAATGAATTATACTAATATATTTTTATAGCATTTCTTCAGAACATTTATAAGTTATTTAGACTAAATAACATTAAATTGAATTACACTAAATAGTAATTCATTAAATATTCCTTAAAATGAATTCATTAAATATGAATTACATAGTTTGTGTTACGTTTTTCATCTTTGAAAATGATCAGAATTATTATTGTTCTCTAGATTGATTTTTTTTTCATTTTATCTATTGCATCAATTTTGGGGAAGGTCAGTGCAGTTTTCCTTATTTTCTTTCCACACAACAAACTTTGCGTTACACATGTAATTTTCTTCTTGTGAGCCACCCAAATTTTCCTACTTATTACAACAGGAGATGTGGTTAGTCTCCTATTTTAGTTGTTATCTGTTTACTTCTCAGCGGTTTGTCCCAGAAAACTGTGTCTTACAAAAATTTGTATTCCTAACACTGTATCTGTAAAGCACAGAACTATGTGGGAGCAGATATTGACCAAACAAGCAAAGAATTAGAAATATTTGCTGGATTGGGAATATTTACTAAGAAGAGAATTGTGTTCAAAAAGTCAAATCTGGGATCAGATTGGATCTCTCTGAACCACGCGAAGACTCTCCGTAGAATACCCAGTGCTTCAACTCTCTGTAAGGATTATTAGCCCCTGATCACAGCTTCTATGTCTTAGACCCCTCCACCATTTCAGGTGTATGTTTAAAACTGGACGTATATACAGTTGAAAATGCATAGGTGAGTATGTGTGTGTGTGTGTGTGTGTAAGTTTATGTATAGGTGCATACATGCATAATTGTACCTTTAACTGAATAGCCCTTGTTCACAGATGTGGCGTTTTTCCATTTTTAGAGGGATGATTTAACTTTTCCTATAATCTTTCTGGTTTACCAAGAAGCAGATGGGACCAGAGGGTTTTAAAGAAAAGCTCCTTGTTGGCTTTAAAAACTATTTATCTGACCCAGAACACATAATACAATAATGTTTTTCAACTTAACACAATATTGTTTCACATATATATGTCAAAGATCTCTCAGTCTGACATCCTGTAGATCACTAACAGGAAAAAATTTAAAACAGAGGCTTTTCAGCTGGACTCCATGGATGGTCATGAATCTCATGAAACTGTACATATGTATGTACATATGGAGATATATATGTAAAGTTATGTGTATTCATGCATGTGCACACATTTTCCTGGAGAGAAGGTCTTTCATCATATTCTCAAAAAATACCAGATTTTTTAGAAGATTAACCACTGTAACCTCAAGCAGCTTTGATTCGAACTCGATTATAATTAAAGTTAAAATCACTTGATTTTTGTAAATTTTTAAAGCAAGAAAATAATATTTGATAAATATTCTTTGGAAAATGCAAGACATTGCATTATCAATTCACATAATAGAAAGATAAATATTTACATACAGAATCCATAATCTTTTAAGTTCAGTTTTCAATGGCTGTATTCTGCCATCCTAAAATTGAAGTTTCCTCTTAAGTCCTTTTACTAAGAAAGGCAAAGGCATTTCTTACTAATATTAATTGTTTAATGGCTCCAGAACACTCTTGTCTTAGAGCCTCAAAGTAATGATATTTGCTATAAGAAGTGACATTTGATGGGGAGTTTTTGGTGAAAAACTATGTTCACATAAAGTTGTGCATGGTGTTTGCCATCGGAGGTTGGTCTTCCTGAACACATCTGTGGTAATTAGTCCCATGGAAATTTCCTCATTAATCTAGTTATAATAAACCCAACCACTAGAAAAACAATGCACAGCTACATTATAGTGAGGAAAGCACTTGTGATGTCTCCAGGGGCTGCAAACCACAGACCACAGCCCAATATGACCAGTGCTTGTGTTTGTAAAGAATGTCTCACTGGAACACACCCATGTCTCCCCTTTAGACGTCTATTGCTGCTTTCATGCTCCAAAAGCAGAGTTGAGGAGTTCCAACGGACCCATATGGCCCTCAAAGCCAAAAATACCCTCTGGCATGTACAGAACAAGTTTACCAACACCTGCCCTAGGCAGTCATTGATTCCTCGATGTCTGCCATGGAGATTTGTCACTATGAGCCTTCCTTTATATTCCATAGTCACCACGGTCTTCCAGGAAAGAGTTCCGTCCTTGCTTCCATCTTCCTCACTTCACGGCCAGCTCAGTTCCTCTTCACCCGGGTTTGGATTGTTGCAACAGATTTATTTTTTCCTCCCTATTCTCACCCCACTTCTTCCAACAGTAAAATAATAATTTACCTTTCCTGAAATAGCATTACCTGCTATTCTCCTTACAAACTGACAAACGTTCCCATTTGTCTTAAGAAAAATTTTAAAAATTTTACCCTGGCACAGAAGGCCTTGAAGAATCTGCAAATCAGACCTTGGTTTACAGAATCCTCTTACAGACAGGCTTCTGTCTCCCAGTATTTTTTCTTCTAAGTCCTACCTACCCTTGCTTCACGTTCCCCATCAAGTCCCCACTTTTCAATCAGGCTTTTCATGATCTTCTTACTCTTCGGCAATCACTACTTTCTCTACATCCCAAAGCTATTACCATATCTCACCATGTACGTTGTGAATGCCCATGTGAAACTGAACATACACGTCCATTGGTGGAGCTGGGTTTGAGGCTCCCATTCTCTCTCTTCTGCTAGATTTAAGTCCATCAAAGCAGGAAATGTCTCACGCCCTTTGATATCCTCAAAACTTAGCACAGAGCTTTGGGCAGTTAAGTGTAAAATATACTCTTACTTGTGGTGAATAATAATAATAATAGCAAATTTTGAGTGCTTACTATATACCAAGACTGTACCATGTATAAAGGATTTCATAAGCCCAACAAAAAATAATTAAAATGAAACAAACAAACAAAAACCTCCAGAAGCTTACAGTCAGCCAGTTTGGAACATAAAAATAACCACGAGTTCAAATGAAACCAGAATGAAGAAATCTATCACTAAGCCCCAAATGCATAGTGCTTTATGTGTTAAGAAGAAAGAATGAATGAACAGAATGAGATGAGTTTGGTCACCAAAGATTTTGGTAGAGAAAGTAAAAAGGGTGACCAGCATGGATTTGGGAGAAACGGAGTGAAAGAAAGAATCCTTCAAAAGGGAAGGGAGGGATTTAAATGAACTCCAAACCAGGAAGGAGTGTTCAACGGCTAACTAATTGTATTAGCCAGGATGGCCTTACCAAAAGCTCTTCTCTACATATATGTACCAAAACTCTTGAAATCACAATGTATTAAACAGAAAAGTATTTAGCTGTAGTACAAACTTGGATACAATCTTAGGATGCTTCCATAATTCTCATCCTCGGGATTATTTATAACCTCTTTGGTGGGATTATAATATATTAGAATATAATGTATGACATATAAATTCTTCATTTTTGATCATTTTAGATTCCTCCTATGGTATAATGAGGATATTTTTCATCTAATTCAAAGTTAATTCTAACCTTATCCATTCTGCATTAAAATACAAATTTATCATGGTGTGTTCTAAAATGCTTTGGATTGAGTAAAGCTGGACTATTTGTGAGAAAGCCCCTACATCATCTGTATGCAAATAGAGGATCTTTATTTGGTGTTTCAGGCTCAAACAAATGTCACGGGAGAAGGGAGGAGGCAAATCCTCCAGAGTAGACCTTTTGCTTGATTTCAAGCCACACAACCAATTCAGAAACTTCAGTAACATCATTTGAGAAGCATTGTCTTAAATTTGGCAAAGAAGTTTAAAATATGGCAGCAGAATTCTTTGAAAATTTTTTATTACATATCTGATTATTTCTCCAACAAAATTCTTTCTCCTGGTATTTTTGCTTTCTTGTGCCTTTATAGCTTTTAACCACTGAATACGTTATTATAACTCCATACTTTCTAGCAGAAATTCTTCATTGTACCACAGTGACTGTCTTCCTGCTTTAGTCTATTAACAGCATTTTAGTTTCTGCTTTCAACTTCTATATGGGCAATCAGTTCCTACCCCTCTTCCATCCAGTTTAGTGTCAAACAAATGGGTATTGTTTTGGTTTTTTTTTGTTTTTTTTGTTTTTTAATTTTTTCCTTTTTCTCCCCAAAGCCCCCCGGTACATAGTTGTGTATTCTTCGTTGTGGGTTCCTCTAGTTGTGGCATGCGGGA